GGGGAAAACACCCGTTAATCCCCGGTAACGGCGTCCACACCCCCACCCCGAGGGACTCCCGCTTACCGAGCTGCTCCGACAGGCGCCGGAGGTACTGCCGGCTGTCCTCACTGAAGGCCTGCAGCAGCTTCACTGCTTGCTGCAGTTCGTCGAGCTGCAAAACCAAAGCACAACAACAACAAAAAAAAGATGAAAAATGGCTAAATCCTTACCAGGGGTGCAATATTTGTCCCTCAAACAGCTGAGACCAACTCACCACAAGCTCCATACAGCTCAAGACCTCGCCCTGGTCATCCAGGATCTTCTGGTAGTTGGGTTTGCTGCTGAGGACTTTGGCCTGAGATGTCTGGAGGTAATTCTGAGGCTCTGCCTGTCCTTGATTCCTCTTGCATTCCTCCAGCTGCCTGCAAAACAAAAGTCATTTATCTGTTAGGCAGGGCTGACAACATCACCTGAAGCAGGCCTTGATGTTTTGTTTTCTTTTCAAACACCAAACAGCTGGGGTGGGGGGTAACAATCCACACCTGGACATTTCTTCAGCATTTTCCTGGTAGCACAGTAAGAGCTGATCCCAGGACTGACACTCAGCACTGAACCTGCAGAGCGAGAGGAGGGAATGGGTCTGTATCCCCCTGTAAAGCTAAACTACAGCACAGGCTCATAGGAGAAGAAAAAAAACCCACAAACCAAACCAGCTGAAGAATTAAATACACCCAAAATACCCTCTAGGAAGAAGGGTCCAAACCCATAGCAGTGTTGAGAGTTTTGATCGTGCGCACAGCCGATCTTACCTGGCAATGTACTCCTTAACTTGGGCTACTGACTCATCCAAAGCCGAGTCCAGCAAAATCCTAAAGCACAGATACAAGGGAGATGTATACATTCCACACGTACATCACAGAGGGCTCTGGTGCCTGTTCGGTGCTCGGGCAGCCGCGCTGAACGCTTAGAATTGCGGAGCAAGAAAGAGAAAAGGCATCTCGATCTCCTCAATAAAGTAACACCTCCTGAATATTCACTGTACCCGTTGTCCCACGATGGCACCAGCCCCAAAAAATCCTCGTACCCACAGGCAACGGGGTTACTCTCTGCAAATTCAGATGACTGGGCAGGCCGTAAAGCAAAACCAGAAAAAGAGAATCATGAATGATAGAATGGTTTGGGTGGGAAGGGACCCTAAAGCTCATCTCGTTCCTGCCACGGGCAGGGACACCTTCCACCAGCTCAGGCTGCTCAGAGCCCCATCCAACTTGACCTTGAACGCCTCGAGGGAGGGGACAGCCACAGCTTCTCTGGGCCACTTCTTCCAGGGTCTCACCACCCTCACAGTAAAGAATTTCCTCCTTGTATCTGATCTAAGCCTACCCTCTTTCCATTTAAAATACACATACCTGTGATTTTGGTATGTATTTATTCATTTAATAGGTAAAGTCTTATTTGGTCTGTCTTTGAGTCATGAACCACTCCCCTCTCCAGATCGTGCACAGGTACAAAGGGATAACAGAGTGGTTTCTTTCCCATTTAAAAGTTTCACCCCCCTAAAATCTGCAGAGTACATCTGCACATTGGCCTTTCCTCGCTGATTCTGCTATAGTTGCCTGGATGAGGGATGCCAGCTAGTTAAAATGTTGAAATGAACCCAAAGCATTTTGCCACAACTGGGTTAGGAAGGTTTCTGCTGGCAGGGTGAGGTCCTCGGACCTGGCAACAGATGCATTTTGCGGTCAGGCGACCCCCTTTTCCCCTGCTTCCGCCCCCAAAAGCGGTAGGGCTCACTGCGGACGCTCCGCAGGGACGAGTTCAGCGAGTCCTTACCCTTTAGGGTCTTCCACGCAGCTCTTCAGCGTTCCGTCGCGTTTCAGCTTCTGCATGTATCGCTTCAGGTCTTCTGAAACCGAGTGCACTGGAGACGAAGACAAAATAAAATGGGATAACACAAAGCTCGTATGCACTGCCTAGAAAAGTAACACTGAGAAATGAAGCTGTTTCCTAACCTGCAGATACTGCAGATATCAGAAGGCATTCTAGTTATTACTTAATGCTGTTTCTGGAAGAATAACTCATCTCTGTGGCCACGGTTTACTTCAGTGTGTCCATTTGCCTTCCCTCACAGAAACCATGGTCACACACGGCATCTTAAAAACATCATTCCCACATTTTTGGCTGCACCCACCCCTTCTAGAAGACAGCTAGGTTGATTTGGGGAGGGTGCTAGGCAAGGGCCAGTATTTTTAAGTTCAGGATTACCCTTGCTGCCGCAAACAGCGCACCTTACCGTTAGCTTTGAAAGCCTCAGGGCTGAAGCCGTCAGTTTGCTTCAAGATGTGTTCAAGCTTCTGTGCGGAAAACTAAGACAGAAAAGAATGTCTCAGCACCCTCTCCCGGGCTGTACGACAAAGCTTGTGGGAAGATTTGTTACTGAAGGAGAAAGGAGTCCCTCCTCCCCACGCACGTACTTCACAACTCAGTTATATAAATCAGAACGTACGTTTAGTGGCAGAAGAAAGGCAAGAGAAAAATAATGCACTTTTTAAAAAAGAGGACCTTACCTGGAAACTGGACAACAACAGCATAGAAAGCCGGTCTATCTCTGGCAGATCCAAGCTAATTGATTTGCTTAATTCTGAAAAATCAGAACAAAATTATTTAAGAAGAACTAAATTCACACCAAGCTGCAAATGGCTGGAATGTTCCTGAAAGACACTAAAAGCTGTTGTTGTATAGGAGTGCGGTTTGCAGGATGTGGAAGGAGCAGGGAAAAGAAAGAGAGTTCCTAACGAGGAAAAGTCACACTTAAGGCTCAACCATGGAAATAAAAAGGCAGAGACTGCAAAACGCTGGTCGACACAAGCCGTTAACGCAGCATCTCCTTTCATCCTCAAGTACCTGGACCGCTGAGATCGCTGCCAGCACGGACATCAGTGGCTACTAGTTAGAAATAATGCAGTTAGACTGTAATTACCCTAAAGGTCGTGCCATGAAATTAAATTTCAACTTGCTGCAGGCTGCCCTACAAGTTTCGAGAGAGAGACTGACAAAGGGAAGAAATGGAGCATGTACCAGTGACATCTTGGTGAACAGGAGGCAGAGATTTTCGGCGTTTTGTCCCCTTCAGGCTCGAACGACGCCAAGAGCGACGCTTGGCTTGAGGAGTGGTGACGAGCGGTCTCGGGGACAACTGAAAAGAACTCATATGGTCTTTCCTGGGACTGCTTCTCCAGGGAGACAGCCTCTTGGGACTAGGTGCGAGGGGGCTTTTCCTGAGGCTGGGACTTTTGTGGGATCTTTTCTTCACAGCCACTCCGGTGGTCTCACAGGGACTAGCGTTCTTGCTAACAGCAGTTACATCAGGTGGCTTTAGGAACCGCTCAGGATCCACTTTCTTCTCTCCAGGCTCGGGATCTGAGAAAACCAGACATAATCAATGTGTTAGCAGGGTCAAATGAGAGGAAAGGGTCTTTCCCAGGGATTCAAAAGCACCGAACCTGTTTTTTTGAGCTTTGCTTTCTAGCTCGGAGCAACAGTGAGGTGCAGCGGCTGCATCACCGCTTCACAGCCCCCCACGACGGCCGGTGCCCCCGGTTCTCCGGCCCACCACGGAGATCC